GATCAGTTCGCTCCGGATGAACAGAGCTGCGAGCAGTTAGAACTCCCCCGGCCGGGCGCTCTGCCCAACCCCAGCCCCGGACCCCGCAGCCTAGATGAGGAAGTTTGGGAGAGCTGCGGGCCTCGTCTGGCTGCTGTGAGCGAGACCCGCTTCTCTCAGCCTGCCTTGCGACACTGGCCCTCCGCCTTTGGGGGACCCTTTGCAGCGCGCGGTGGGGAGTTGAACGAGGAAGGCAGTGATCTGTGTTGTGACAAGCACCCATTTTTCAATTGGTGCTGGTGATGACCGAATTCTTGGTTTCCACCAATCAAGAAATTCAGCAATTGAGGGATTCTACATTCTCACTGGGGGATGGAGCTCGGGACCTCCAGGCCCTTTCTGGGCCTGGGGTTGGGGCTTTTCTCCTCCCGCAGGTCGCCAGAACCCGGAGCGCTAATGGGGGATTCGACCTCGGAGACCAAGGTGCGCGCGCGGACCGGCTGGAAGGGGGAACGGAGAGCCTCCGCCGGGCTTCGGCCGCGGGGCAGAGCCCCTCCTGGATCTGGCTTCCCTGCGAGGCGTGACTTTGCTGGCGGAGACATTTGGCAGATTTATCTCACGCATCCGAATTGGTTCCTCAGACGGCAGCCAGGGCCCAGTGCCGAAGCCACAGGCGCAATCTAGTTGGTCAAGCGGGTTTCAATACTTTGAGATATTAGCTTATACTAATTTAATAATCTCTTGCTAACAGTTCAAATAGAGAAATTATTAGTTTTAGCTCAATGAAGGCGGTCTTTAGTTAGGCTCGATTATAATTATAAGCGGTTGTACTTTTTAAAATGTTAATCTCAATATAGGCCTAATTAATGCTGCCTTGTTACTGACAAGCAGTTCATCAAATATCTGATTCAAAGATTTTCATAATGACTATATTAATTAAACTATGAATAATCTAAAGGTGGTTATATTTAAACAATACCTCATTATAATGATTAAATACTGATTTTGAATATTGTATCTTAACAATTGTCACTTAGAAAACACAACCTTTCCTTATGTATGAGTCTGTAATGGCAAAATGCAATTTTGGGATTTTTTCCCCTTGTTCAAAAAATGTGAACCTCATTTTAAAACACTTCTGAAATAGGTTACACACAGCTTAATGATTATCAAAATGACTCTTTTCTGCAAAAAAAGACCCCAAAGTGCGTGTACAGCTGCAAACCCAAGAGGGTCAGCATCATTTCACTG